CTGAAAAGGGGGGAAAAAAATGTGAGAAATTAGATTCTTCTGAGTAACATTTATATTTTTATGAATGTGATAATTTTTGACAATTTTTCTGAAATAAGAATTTTTTGCAAGTAAACTATAGATAATCAATAGATAATAGTTTTTTTTTTTTTTTTAACTGTCAGTAGCTAGTTATCAAGAGATCACTATTATGTAAGCCAGTATATCCTATCACTATTGTCAAATCACCTAGTTCCTTTAACTCGGTGAATTCCAAGTTTAGTCACTGCAAATATACAAGAACATACATTTATGGATATACTAAGTGTCAAAAAAATACCAAGATGGTCAAGTTTAATATTACAAGAAAAAAAAAAATAGCTACATTAGCATTTTTCGTTAAGTTACATAAAATATCGATAAAACACCTTAAAACTTTTTATTAGATATTTTTGGTTGACCATTTATAAACATTATGGATATTTTTTAAAATCATCAAAATTAAACTATAGAGAGCAATGAACAAAATCTTAAAGGTTTAAGATTCTTTCAAATGTATTTATACCAGAAAGCTATAAAACGGAAGGGTTTACTCTTGCAAAAAACTACATGCATTTTGCTTAAACCTTAAGTTTAAAAAACAAAAAACAATGTAAACCTGAAAAGTTGTTGGTAGTATTATTTGTTATCAGTTTTTAAAATAGGAAATGTTTACAAAGTGAATACCAAATTACGATAGAGTAGAGCTGGGGCTTTTTAATCTCAGAATTTGTGGGAGAATTGATCTCCAATTTTGCATTTATTCATACAGACTCCATAATATATCTTCTTTTTTTTTTTTTTTTTTTTTTTATTAGATACCTTGATAAAATTTTCTTAAGAAAAAAGCATAGCATGACGAAAAAGGGCCTTAAACTTGATGAAAATAATTTTTTTACTGGTCTAAATGTTTGTTATTATCAAGAGGAAAGATCAAAGTATTTTTTGCATATTTTTTTTTTTTACATTTTTTTTTTAAATCACTCCTAGTACATCTGAAATTTTCGTTAAAAATCTTCCTTTTTTTGAGTCAGCAAAATGGACAGAAAAATCGATCATGTCAATCATTTTTTTCCAATTTTATAAAAAGATGAAAATCTGTTTTAAATTTTTTTTAAATCAATTATAATTTTTTCAAAATTTTAAGAAAATTATAAAGTTTGTTTAAAATATTTTGAAACAAACATTACTTTCTGCACCGAAAAAAATGTAGTTTAAAAATAAGACAAAGCAGGTCTTAACATTTGGTATCATGTGATGAGTGATGATTTCATCACATATAGACATCTTATGTGCAGGAAAAGTTATCATACAGGACAGAAGTGACATAATTATTTAGATTTAAGTGAATCAATTATTTACCTCGTTATTTTTACGGAAAACTTTCAGCACTATAATTTTTTTGTTTTTCTTTTTTTGTACTGAGCTTTCACCTTTACAATGATTTATGGAAAATATTTTATAAAAAAAATTAAAAGACTGTTGAGAGTGAGATTATATTTCATAAGAAAGGTACCTATAAATTAATTAGATACCTTTCTTATGAAATTTTATCAGAAGTGTACATAAAATACCACAATTTTATGTACATTTATTATATTTTATTGTGTTATTTGTATTTCCATTCATTTTATTATTAATTTTGATCTTTCATTTATGGAAAAATGTCATAACTGAGATAATATAATACAATACTTGTAGGTACCATTTTCAGTTGAAATTGAAAAATCAAATTAATTTCTCTAAGCATGTTTTACTCAAACAATTTGCAAAAATAAAGGCCATGACAGAGGGGAACAACACTGAACTAAAATAATGCGACGTTTTATTGTTTTCATGTATGGTCTTCCGTACATTTGAATTAGTCATTTTATAGACACAAAAGTCATGCAAAATTGGATTAATACACTGGTGGTCCGTTGATTGTATTAAGCATTACAATTTATAATCTGTAAAGATAGATCTACTTAATAACACCTTTGACTAAACTGTACACCATTTTCACTAATTTTAAAATTAGTTACAACTTTAATGTAAAAATAAGAAAATAATTTAAGAAATAACAAATAATTGTTTCAAAAATTCATATTTTATTGACAAAGATTTTGCTTTCAGAAAATATTATCCATATTCATAAAAACAACTAAAAGCATTTGAAATTAAATAATATCTTTGTTTTATTGAGTATTGTATGTTACAATTCAGACCTGATTTCCAGGTAGAGGTGGTCCAATTAAGAAAAAAAAAAAAAAAAAAATTTGCTTTCCTTAAAGTCTTGTGCTTTTAACTAATATAATCACTAAATTGTATAGCCACCCAATGCAGTGACTTAAGCTAGTTTATATTAAAACAGGCACTGCAATTATATTTTTTTTTTTTACTCCCCTGAACCATGAAAAAAATGATAATGTCTAGTATAATATATATATATATATATATATATATATATATATATATATATATATATATATATATATATTTTTGTCAGACAGACAGACTGTTTCGCTGTTTCACAGCTCATCAGTGTGGTTAGACATCCGGTTGCCTCCAGCTAGTAAACCCCACTGAACTGGTGTCAGTCGGAGATTCTAACCATTAAGCCATCGTTGTTCTTAGGGAAGGAAAAAATTTTTAGCGTGTTTATTTTATAAACACGCCCAGTGACCGGGAGTGACTCAATTCGCATTAGCAAAGAGTCTCGCTATATAGCTATAATAGTCACTGTTTACCAACCCACATCTCCTCCCCAGAGACTAACACTAAATTAATTTTCTAGCTCAACTGAAATTAATTTTTCAGGAGCCTATATATATATATATATATATATATATATATATATAAATCTCACATAATCAGGCAACCTGAATCTGAGCTCAATGAAAATCGTTCCCTGAGCCTAACTTTTCCAGAGCTATGGATCATTGAAATCAGACCAGTGGGAGCAGAGGAGTTGCTTGGCCACACAGATGAACAAACACACCCATACACTGTACTTTATATATAAGATTGCAAGCAAAGAGAGCAGTGACATTACATGTATTCACCCTTGTATTCAAATTTCAGGAAAATGAAAAAAATCTCATGTCATTTTCAGTAATCAATCAGTTTTTTGTATGTTAAAAAAAAAAAAAAAAAAAAAAAAAAAAGAAAGAAAGAAAAAAGAGAAACTAAACAAAATTCATTATTTACATTATTCGGACTATTGTTCTCATCTTTGTTGCCATATTTTTATCACAATGTTTTATACCATTGTATGCTCTAACCTTCTTACAATGGCGAAAACGTTGTGATAAATATGGCGACAAAGATGAGGACAATAATCCAATAATGTACATAATACCTCATCTCAGAAATATAGACAAACTCTAAATAAAATTCAATAAAATGTCAAGCTAAGAAGTTTGTCATTCACCCAATGTACATACAAAACATCATAACTCATTTAATAAAAGATATTATGGACAAAAATAAAAGAAAAACAATCAATACTAGAACAAAAAATGTTTGCCTATTCTCCAGAAGTTATTCTAGTAAACAGGGAGCAAAAATTGATTTTAATCGCTCATCACAATATATATATTGCAAAATTATAATTTAAATTTCTTCCAGCCACTCACAACAATCCAAGTGGCACTTTTTTTTTTCTTTTTAACATTTATAAGTAGACATTGGCTTTAAGAGCAGTTACATAAACATACATCAGTGTGTTCAAGCTGAGCTAATAAGATATGTGCCTAGAAATAATTTATGGAAAATACCTAATATAAATATTTGGAAAAGGGCAAGTACAACTGTTGACTAACTGATCAGGACTGAAACCTATTAATTTCCACAAGCTCAGTTTTTAGGATGGTGGACATAATTATAGGTAGAAGTCAATAGACTTGATTTTTTTTTTTTTATAAAACTATACTGCATATTTTATTTTCATATAAACATATTTAATACTGGATTTTTTTATTGTAATCAATGCTGGATTTTTCAATGGACATTAATAGATTGACTTCAGTGATATTGCAATCAATGATTGGGTTTGCCTGTAGAACAATTTCTGCATTTTTTTTTCCCTTTGTTTTTTAAAACCTCTGACAATGAAGAAATTCACCATATGCAATATTCCAAATTACTAGGTAGTTAAAAACCAAAAACAAAGCATTCACTTAGATTTCATAAATTTATGCCAATGGTCAACCATACTTTTCAACACATTAGGCTGTCAATCAATCATCAACTTGTCAGACCTTGTGATTAAGAAATCCTTGTATACCATGTTTTATGCTATGAGTAATATTTGTTCCAAATCAGATTTAAATTTGCTAATTTTTCTCATAGGTCACAAATATATATTTTATTTTTGGAAAATTTTTAAAATCAAGAATTAACTTTTGCTTGCAATTGTGTCAAAATGGCCGATATTTGCCGACAATTTTCTGAAAGCAACCAAAAAATTGAGATTCTAATCAATATAAATTTCTATTTTAAATATATCAGAGTATTTTGCATACTGGAAATAGTAAATTTAATCATTTAGCTTCCAATTAAAGCTAAAAAAGGAAGCTTCAAGAATGCTTTTTCATTTCTAAAAATTCATTTTAAACCTTAGGTATTGAAAATTTAGTAGAGGTCCCTAGCAAAATGGAATGGAAGAAATTGTAAGCTATGTAAATTAAATCAATGCTAACCAAACTAATGACAGGTTAAAAAAAAGAAAAGAAAGGTAAACACTATATATAGTGGGATTGAAAATGAATCCACTACTGAGAGCTCCTTCTGAAAATCAAACAATTGATTTGAAAAAGTATTACTCCCAGTTAGAGCACAAGAGAAAAGAGAAAGATTATCCTGGAAACTAAGTCTCTGCCAAGAAAAAAAAAACAATTGTTCCAAAAGGACAAAATTATGAAGTTGCTTGATAGTGAAACAAAATACTAAATATAGTTAACCATTACCACTCTGCATGTGAATTCATTTGCTGTACAAAA